ACTGCAAAAAATGGTGATCTGTGTGGACGATAATCTGTACAGTACAGGTACACATGACACTTATCTCTTGCCCAGGCCAGTCTGGCTTTATTGTTGAAACTCTGGGTCCTCTGGGCAGCAGACATTTGCTAGTGTAAGCAACTGAATGCAAGTGGCCTTCTTGCTCCTGTAGAAGCAGCACACCCACGCAATTCTTCGACACGTCGATCATCAGAACAATTTTTTTTACAAGTCTAGTACGCTGAGAATTCTCGCTGCCGTCAGTGCGTCCTTCACCTTGGAGAAAGCCTCTCCTCACTCAGAAGACCCTACCACCTGGTTTTCTCCCGTCTTTGCGTCAGTCCTACCAACGGTCCAGCCACGTCGGCATACTTGGGGTCGAAATGGCGGTAGCATCAAGTCAATCCCAGAAAAGCTCAAACTTTTTTCTTGGTCCGGAGTCGCTCGGCGCATTTGATCTTATCCGAAGTTTCCCAGCGAGGCTTTACTTCTTTATTCGCCAGTTAATTGCCCAGAAACGTTTTTGCCTTCCTTCCAATTTCGGATTTGCTGGGTTTCACCTTGATTCCAGTGTGCCGCATTCTCTCAAGTATTCGTTTCAACGGACCTAGGTGCTCCTCCCAAGCGTCGGTTGCTATGATCATATCGTCGATGTCGTGCTGACGTTTTGGATGACTGCCAGCAGCGTCCTCATTGGCCATTATTCCGAAAGGCATAAACCTATACTGGTAAAGCCCCGACTCAGTTGAAAATGCCGTCCTGGCCTTGGAATTCGCCGATAGAGGGATTTGCCAATTACCTTTGGCTAAGTCTAGTATGAAAAAAGAAAATATTTCCTGCCCACATCGACAAAAATCTGATCAATGCGAGGGATGGGTTTCGCATCTTGAGCCAGCTGGCTGTTACTTCTGCCAAAAATCGATGCATAGGCGGATATTGCCATCTGACCGGAAGAGACGTTTTCACTCAATCAACAGCGTGCTACTCCTGGTAGGCAAAATATTCAGCGCTCGTTCTCCCACTTTTTGCTGTCGTCCTTCTGTTTTTGCACTGAAGCCTTTCGTTTGCTTTCGCTGAGACTCTTAATGTTCCTTATGTGCTAACTCGGTGGTTTGTTCTAGCTTATTTCTCAAATCAAGCACATATCTGTAGTTGTTTGGATATCTCAGATTATGTGGTCTCCGACCCAATTTTTTTTTTAGCAAAGAGAGAGGACCTTTGACGTGGCAGCCGTAGATTAGTTCAAATATGGAGGACCCCAGACTTGCTTGAAGAACCTTACGGTACGCGAAAAGAAGTGGGCATAAAAATTTGTCCCAAGCATGAGACTTTTCTCTGCAAATTATTTTAAATATTTTTTCAGGGTCCCGTTAACGTGTTCTGCTAACTCATTGCACATAGGATGGAAGGGCGTTGTTAGCAGTTGTCTAAACGGCAACAATCGCTTCACCTCTCGCATTAGGACTGACGTGAAGCTAGGACCTCTGTGAAAAAGAATCTCCCGGGACAGGCCCATTCCTGAAACTATTTCGAATAATCCTTCTGTTACAGTCAGGGAGTCGATGCTTCTCAAGGGAGCCATACCGAGATGCTGATTAGCAAAATCCGCCATTGTTAAGACGTATCGGTTTCCCCTTTCAGTCGTTGGGCAAAGAGGCCCAACAATGTCAATGGCTACACGCTCAATGGGTGTGTCAATTATAGGAATGCCTTCTATGGGCGCTCTTTCTAACCTCTCCTTTGGGATTGTTTTGGCACACGTCGCACGAGCTCAAATACCTCTTACTATCCGTTCAGACAATTGCCAAACAAGGTCGACAGTACCCAGTCAGTTTTCCGCTTTACGGCTACGTCTCTAGCCAGAGTGGTATCGTGGGTCACCTCCAGCACCTTGCTGCGCAGCCTTTTGGGCACCGTGATGTGGTGAGTTTTCTGCCTGTCGATGATACGAAATTGCACATTAGGAGGCCTTTCTTTTCGTAAAAAACCGAAGCTATTTCTTTCCTTGGAATTGTGCCAAGATCCTATCTGTTTGCAGCATACCGCCAAGGTTGAATCTTTTATTTGAAGTTCCTGTAAGACGTCCCTGAATATCTGTTCATTCTTCTGCCCTGTCTTTCCATCGAACGGCTGACTCAGTTTAAAGTTTTCCCGGTAACCATCCACCCTGTAGCGAAACTGCCGGACTATAACTGTTTTTTTCTTGTCGTAGTCTAGCGTGTCTTTAGGGGTCATCCTACTTATTTTTTTCTAAAGCTTGTCCCACCAGACACATTCTTAGGGCCGCCGATTTTTTTTTCTCGAGGCCACTTTGTCCCTGAGCTACCCGCTCGACTTTTCTCAGATATAAGTCGAAATCATCCTTTTTTTTCATAAAAGGGAGGCATAAGCTTGTGCCGACTAACACACTAATACACTAGTAATAAAAAAGCATATAGTTTCAAAAATCAAGACTAACACGGGCCCACAAACACTTACATCTCAAATATATCAAGCATATCAGGTATATCGCTAAACAAATACAAGATAATATTTAATAAAAAAAAACTTCGATGGTAGCCGCGGACAACTAAAGTAGAAAATTGTGTATTATTGCTCTTTGCAGTGCTTGACGCTATTGATGTGTTTATTCTTAGATGTTTTGATTTTCGTTTTTTTGCTTTGTTGTTGAAGCATTTTTAATTGTGCTGTATTTATTTATTTATTGTACTTTTCCGGTGCCCCTAAACAGCCCATAGGCCTACATAAGGGTGCACCGTTGACACCTACATGCAGTTTTGCATAAAAAAGATGCACGCAAACGCATACATAATTTGAACAAACAAAAACGTGAAAAATAAATGTAAATGAGAAAAGTGCATAAAGTTGAAAACAACACTGTTTGCCAAAAAGACTGATACAAGAGGGCGTCACATTATAAAAGCACTAGCAGAGACCGCAAACTAAAACTTTCCCGCAAAAAGATGTCTACTTCGGGCGTGTTTGCGACATTTGACATGTTAAAATTATACTGGATACGCTCAATGGGTCTTAAGCTTTTTGGATCAGAGGAACCGAAAACACGATGGGAGCGAAGAGACCTGCCAGGTATAGCAATGAGTACGGATGAGGTTAGCTTGGGGCAATCTATGAAACCGTGAAGACATTTGTGTAAAAATAAAAAGTCTCGTGCCTGCCTCCTTTCGGAGAGGCAATGCAGGTTTAAAATCTTCAACAATCGCTCATGGCTGAAATAAATTCGCCTGTTAAAATAATGACCGTAAAGTAGTCGAACAAACTTCTTCTGTACATTTTCAAGTTCATTCGAGTTTGTCTGGTTTAAACGATTCCAAACAACGCTAGAGAAATCCAGTTTAGGCAGGATGAGGGATCGGTACAAATGCAAAAAGCAAGAATATCCTCTAAAGTTTCGAGTCATTCTGGAAATTGCGCCCAAAGTACGGTAACATGTATTGCTCATGTATGCCACATGATCAGAGAATTTAAATTCACTGTCCAAGAAAACTCCTAGATCACGTACAACTGAGACGCGCTTAATCGAGCACTTGTTCAAAGTGTAGTCAGAGGTGTTAAAAAAATGTTTTCTCGAAAAAGATATGACTTTTGTTTTAGCAGGGTTGAGAACCAACTTGTTGTCCTTGCACCAGTCTGCCAATTCTGTAATATCTTGCTGTAGTTTATTGCACTCAGAAATGTCCACAATAGCTCGAAAAAGCTTAACGTCATCGGCAAATTGTAACATTTCCGAGTGATTTATGCATGAGCAAATATCGTTCACGAAGATGTTGAAAAGCAGAGGCGATAGGCTAGAACCCTGCGGGACTCCCGATTTGGAGAGGTACGCGGTTGATTGTGCACCACCGTATGAAACAGAATTCCATCTGTCATGCAGATAGCTCTGAATCCATTCGCAAAGTGGTAAGGAGATACCATAGGACGCAAGTTTCTTAACTAGCAGTGAATGGCTCACTAGGTCAAATGCTTTTTTAAAATCAAAGTAAATTGCGTCGACCTGCTGCTTCGACCCTAGTTTGGCACCCACAAATTCCGTGAACGCTATTAAGTTTGTTTCCACAGAACGATTTGGCATAAAACCATGTTGTTGCACGTTTATACGTCTGGAAAAAAAATGCATGATATGACAATGCATGGCCTTTTCGAACACCTTGGCAAACGAACAGATCAGTGAAATTGGACGATGATTAGTGACAGTTAGTGCCGACCCATCTTTGAATATTGGCACAACTAGAGAGTACTTCCATGCAGTTGGAAAAAGCCTATCTTTCAACGACCGATTAAATACAAAAGTTAAAATCGGAGCTAACACGTCACCGCACCCTTTCACTATAAACAAAGGAATTCCGTCGGCTCCAGCCGATTTCTTAGGTGGTAACGCCCGAATCGCCGCAAAAACGTCGTCAATGCTGAGCTCGGGAATTGATAAGTATGCGTTTTCCTGGTCTGGCAGTGTGCAAGTTCGAGACGTATTTCCCGTGGAATCAAAAACACTAGAAAAGAAATCTGCAAACGCTTGACAGACGTCGCTCGGACTGCTGATATGTTCCGAACCGTTAGATAGTGTTATCTTCTGTGCCGTTTTCTTTTTATTCGAGAAGTTCCTGGTATACTTCCAAAGACTTTGCGGATTTTGCTTTAGGCTTTATTCAACACTTTGAGTGTGGCTTCGGAGGTCACGACGATAAAGACGCTTCGCTAAAGCTCGCTCCGATTTGAACTTTTCGTAGCAGAACAGATTATTAGTCAGCTTGTAATGTCTGTGATAACGTAGCTTTTTCCTCATTGTATGTTTCAATTTTTCCTCATTGTATGTATCATTGGAAGCTGTGCATCGTCGAACGGTGAAATGTACTTTTTAATCGTACGCCAGTGTTATCTCTACGCCATCGTTATCTCTTCCGTTCTGTTCCGCACCCGAAGTATCGGGCTGCTTATATAAGCGCGTGGCAGATAATAAATGGCTGTTCACAACCTACCATGTCTTGGTTGTCGTACCTCGTAATAGCGGCGACGAGAACCAGTCAACGCAGGTGAAAGCTGTCGCGCTCATGGCGTGCCAGGTGCTCCAGTTTGACGATGAAAGGACAAGTGGGCCTCCTACACCATCTGGATTGCAGCTTACTCCGAGGGGAACGCCATAACCGACGATGCCAAAAAAATAGCTCTTCTTGTATCCGGCCTGAGGTCAAGGACAATCGAAGTGCTGAATGGGCGCTGTGCACCAAGGAAGGTGAGCGAATTAACCTACAAGGAAGTCGTGACAACTTTGGAAGATATTTATGCGCTACCACCCAACGAAATTGCCAAAAGCTTTAGGCTCTACCGTCGAGTTCAGAAAGGAGTCGGCGCAAGAATTTATAGTACAGCTGCGACCACTGGCTGACAAATGCAATTTTAGAACGATGCTAGACCGAATGATTTGGAACAGAATTGTGTGCGGCATACGAGATACGGACGTGCAGAAACTGCTGCTGGCAGAGCTGAAGCTCACATTGGAAGATACCGAAAGCATTGTGCGGGCCGCGGAAACAGGAGCGCTAGATATTAAGGAAATAAAACAATCCGAGTCTGCGGAAAGCCCAGAATTGAACGAACTTACAGAAAATGGACGGAAATTCAAGTCCGGGAAAATGGAGAGACGTTCACGACGGCAGACAAACTCGTGAGAAAGATGCGGAAGTTCCACACACGCTACAGAAGCCTGCGGCTTCTTAAACTCGAAGTGTTTCCAGTGTGGCCGTAAAGGTCATGCAGCCGGGATGTGCCGTTCCGAGAGCAAAAAGCCGTTCCGTCGGCAAGAAACTTTTGTTCCGAGGGAAAAAAAAGCGAAGGCATGTGCGATACACGGCAACGAGCCCAGCAGCGATGATAGCGAAATGTCTCAGCAGTTGCTAACTTTGAAATCACCTTCTGCCACCGAACACAAGCTGGTTGCACCTGTCTGCAGGAAGTTTTGCTGACGCGGTGTCGACATCGTCATGGAGGTGGACGCTGGTTCCCCAGTCTGCGTGATCTCAAGAGACGTGTTCGAAAAACACCGCCACAAGTGGCCAAGGACGGAGCGTTCAGGTCTGAAGTTATTCATGCTACCTGGGGAAGTTGCCTATGGGAGGTAAGCTGACGCTCGAAATTCGGTACTGTGGTCAAGTAGTAACTTCTACACTGACGATCGTGGACTGGGGGGGGGCAAGTCTCTTTGGACGCGACTTGATATAAAAGCTCAACTGTCTGGGGACGCCAGTTTTAAAATTAACTGGTACAAACAAAACTACGCAGAACCAGGAGCTAGAGAAACTACTCTCCGAGCACGAGGGGTTGTTCAGCGATGGACTAGGGTTCCTAGAAGGGCCTCCAGCACATCTTTATGTAAAGGAAGGTACCGTAACCAAGTTTTCCAAGGCCAGGTCCCTTCCATACGCGATGCGTGGCAAGGTATCTATCGAATTGGACAGGGTACTTGAAAGCGGGGTTATCTCGCCTGTTCCCCATGCTGAGTGGGCGACGCCAGTCGTACCGGTGCTAAAAAAAGACGCGTCGATACAACTTTGGAGAGATCTTAAAGTAACCGTAAATCCAGCCTGCAGCACCAAACAGTATCCACTACCATAATCGACGACCTGTTCGCGTCACTGAACGGGGGTGAAAGATACAGCACTCTAGACCTACGAGATGCATACAACCAGGGATGGGCAGTATTTCAAATACAAGTATTTTAAATGCGTGTTTCAAATGCTTTGTGTATTTTGCATTTGTATTTAATTACAAATTGGGTAATGTATTTGACGTGTGTATTTAAATACTAAAACGGGGGTATTTCAAATACAATTCTAATTAAATACAACTTTGTGGGCGAAAATACATCCCTCAAATTTATTGTCACTGTCCAGAGCAGGAAGAAAACCACGTTCTGCACCGAATGCAGTGTCCCTCAATCAAGCACAAGCGTTTAGTGACTTTGGGATTACGGCGCCAGTCCAGGGCAAGAATAGTGACGAAATCGACGTTAACAGGCAGACTGGCTAAATAAGCGCCTGTGACAACTTGTGATGCTTTCCAGTCTGATTTCCATTCATATTTTTGCCTGGAACATTCAAAAAGCGGGTCGTCCAGATTTTCGTAACTGGTACGAGTTGCAACAATAAAAAAATCTTTAGCTTGTGCTGCGCGTCTTGGTCGTAGCGGTTCTTTGTTGGCCTATACTTAAATGTAATCGACAAAAAAGCTGCTTGAAGCTCTGTACTTTTTTCACCTATTACGTCCAGCTGATAATTTTTTTTGTGATTATATTTCTATTATGTTACTAGAGCCTCGCACACTAACTCTCGAGTGTACGATGCAAAATTAAAATGAGATACCCAGAAACCCGTTGCAGGTGCCCTAAAGTCGCTGACGCAAATTTTGAGGAATGTATTTGGAAAAGAATTTGGAGGAGACCAAATACATTTGGTTGTATTTGTATCTTGTACTTAAATGCCTTTTTGGAATTGTAATTAGATTTGTAATTAAATACATTTTTGACGAATTATTTTGTATTTGTATTTCGATACATATTTGCATGTATTTTGCCCATCCCTGCATACAACCAAGTGCCCCTAGACGAAGAATCAAAAAGGTTGACCGTAATCAACACCGATCGCGGCCTGTTTTCCTAAAACTGGATCCCAGTTGGTATTGCACCGGCTCCCGCCATCTTTCAGCGTAAAATGGAGACCCTGCTCCGAAGAATAGAAGGCGCCAAAGCATATCTCGATGACGTCATTATCTCAGAGAGAAAGAATGACAGTGGAAACCGTCTCAAAAAGTGCTTCAGCGTTTCAAGGGAAACGGAGTCAATCTGCACAAAAGGAAATGCAACTTCTGGCAGGACGAAGTGTGCTATCTTGGACACCGTATCGACAGAGATGGCCTCTAACCTACCGAAAAGAACATGAAGGCCATAATGGAATCAAGGGGCCCAACCTGCATAAGCGAACGGCGTCTTTTTTATCGAGCTGCTTTCATAATACTGCAAGTTTTTACCAAATAGGACTACCCTCTTGGCACCGTTGTACGTGCTTGAAGAATATAAGCTGGGTGGTGGAACGAAACAAAGGATTATGCGTTCAAGAGGACTAAGCAAGCACTATGAACAGCATACGTGCTCACACATTTTGACCCGTCTGAAGAGCTGCGCCTAAAATGGGATGCATCGCCTTATGGTACTGGGGTGGTGCTGTCTCACCGTTTAGGAAACGTAGGCAGACCAATAGGATTCAGGTCCCGAACACTTTCAAATGCAGAAATAAATTATTCGCAACTAAAACGGGAAACACTAGCCCTGGTCTCCGGGGTGACGAAGTTCAAAGACTATTTGTAAGGACGAGCGTTTACTTTCGTAACTGATCACAAGCCAATGGTAGGAGTACTGAGAGGACATAGACCAACACCTGTAAGGCCAGCGGCCAGAATTCAGCGTCAGGCGCTGATGTTAGGCGCATGTCAATACAAGATTGAGTATAAGCCGAGCCCCGAGAACCAGAATGCCGACGCCATTAGCCGCCTTCCAGTAAACATTCTCGAGGAAGAGACGAAAGAGTTGCCAGAGTTGGTGCTTTCGCTGAACTAACTCGATAAGACCGTTCTCTCCGCGACAAAACTGCAAGCACTGGCTTCTTCGGACCAGCTTCTGCTCAAGGAGAAAGCCTATGTGTTGGAAGGGTGCCCAAGGCAACTAGATGACAAAGATCCACGGATGCAACCCTACTTTTACAGGAAACTGGGGCTGACCGTGGCCAGGACTTGCTTTACTGGGGACATCGAGTCGTCGTACCCCAGGCTGCTCAAGGACCGATACTCCAAATGCTACACGAAACCCATCAAGGATCCTCGTGAATGAAGGCGGTCGCACGGACGCTGTTCTGGTGGCCGAGCCTCGATGGGGAAGATACAACAGCTTTCCCGCCATCGCAGTTCGTGTATACAGGCACAGCCAATGCCTTCTGTCAAGTCTCCTGTAAAGTGGCCGAACAATGGCGAGAAATGTTCACGGGTGCACCTAGACTATGCAGGGCCAATAGGGGAAGCCATGATACTGGTCGCTGTGGACTCTCACTCCAAATGGATAGAAGCTGTTGCCATGAGAATTTCCACCGCAAATTTTACAATATCGGCTGTGCGAGAAATGTTCAGCCAATTCGGAATTCCGAGCATCGTCGTGACAGACAACGGAACCCAATTTATGGCAAAATCGGTTTCGCGCTTTCTCTCTGAGAATAACGTAGAACATCTGCGCACAGCGCCATACCATCCCCAGTCCAATGGCCTAGCAGAAAGAGCAGTCAGAACGATCAAAGACGGCCTGAAAAGGTCAAGGAAGGCACCTTATTAAAGCGTCTAGTAAAGATACTAATTGCATACCGACGAACTCCCCTACCAGTTGGCACTTCGCCGTCACAGAGACTTCTGGGCTACCAGATAAGATCCCGTATGGATACCTGCGTACCACCCCCTGTCATTTCATCCACGCCTTTGCAGGAATCCGGATGCAAGCTGTCGGCCGGAGATCCCGTGTGGGCACGAAACTTTGGGGAAGGCGAGCGGTGTTACCGGGAATCGTAGCTACAACGACTGGGGCCCGGATGGTGTCGGTGGACACGCCGCTGGGAGAAATATGGTGTCACACGGACCAGATCCGTTCAAGGGAGCTGCCAGCACACCAAGCACCAGAGACAACCCAAGAAACGGCACCCGCTGTTCGTAAAGATGCGGCTGAGGGTCCAACACCTGAGCAGCCAGCCGCGGGTATCACGCAACATCAAGAGTGGTGCAGATCTACCAGAGAAAGAAAACCAGTAGTGCGGTATTCCCCCTACGGGAAGAAATGCTGTATCATCGGAAGCTGTGCATCGTCAAACGATGACATACTTTGTGATCATAGTCCAGTTTAGTTATCATCGTTATCTCTTCCGTTCTGTTCCGCACCCGAAGTATCGGGCTGTTTATATAAGCGCGTGGCAGATAATAAATGCTGTTCACAGCCTACCATGTCTTGGCTGTCGAACGTCGTAAAATGTGTAATATTCTGCTCGCCTGTTGATAGAGTTTATATACAATATTGCGTTAATCTATTTACATAGCGGCAGCAAAGGTTTGTCAGAGCATTTGGTATTTTGTATTGGTACCGCAGACATGGTGTATTGTCTAAGCAAGGTGGAATAAAAAAGAGACGAGGAGACACCCTTGTTTCCTTCACCACCTTTACTTCCACCTTGGTATTTCCCGCCAGCCTCTGCAAGGCGAATATTTAATTCCGGGGTACGTTGATCGGTTTCTGCCCTTAGGCGCAGCATTTTCCTCTCCGCAGCCCTTTCGTCTCATTAGCGCGCTCGCTCCTGATTGACTTAAGCCCTAAACTCCGCTCCTTCGAGTCCCGGCTGACTACCCACGGCTATAAGTTCTCACACCTACATTCCAAATTTTTAAAGCCGTTGCAATAGCGGAAAAGTCAGGCGGAAGATGTCATCCTATCGTGGACGCCAGTAAATTGTCACGATGTTCTTTCATTCTAACATATGACAGACAAGGCTTCAGCCAGCGTTTTCCGTTTTTAGTTATTTTAATTATATTTACAAACAAAAATCATTTGCTAATGGATAAGAAGAAAAGAATAAAAAACATGTTCCCTTCACAACATAGGTGACACCTGTCCCAGGACGCGAGGCCGGTAAAAGGTTCGCCTCTCGCCTGGTTCTGGTCGTCCGAGTCTGAGAGGGGGGCCAGGGCTTACTTTTGTCGGCCGGTTGTCCCGTGCAAGGGCTGGCTGGTAGAGGTACCAAGGAAAGATACGTTGCGGGAGGAGGACCTACGCCTTAGCCCCAGACAGTCCTTTCCTCGGGCAACGCAGCTTGTCGGGCACATCACGCCAAGCTCTTTCCAAAAAACACACATTGACGCCTCGTCTTGCTCTTCTCTTTCGTTTCGTCCTTCTGCCTCTTGATCTTCTTCCAGCTCCCTCGATAAAGAAAAAGAGGGATGGCGAAGGAAGGAAACGAGCTGCAAAAAGCGGTAAACAGCGAAAGCAGCCTTAGCCAGCTGATGCCGCTGGCGTTTTCCAAGGGCCATGCTAACGCATTCCCTACGGATACATCAATGGATCTTCCTTTAATATTTATTTTCCGGATACCTTACTTGCAGGTCAGAATTGAAACACAAAGAAGCTTCAAACCGTCGTGCGACGAGGTCGACTTCAATACTACACGATTTTACCGCGGGTACAGATCTCACCACATCTTTCTGCATGAATGATAGAAGCAGATGCCATTCTCGCAGAGAAACAGCAAATGAGCGATATGCATTCGAAATCACACAGATCGAGTAAAGGTTCAATAAAGCTAGGCCTAATTTGACCGATGAAATATCCGAACCCAGTGAAAATTCACACACAGACACACACACACACACACACACACACACACGGACAGACGGACGGACAGACAGACAGACAGAGACAGACAGACAGACAGACAGACAGACAGAGGCAGACGGACAGAAAAAGAGAGCACACCAGTAAAAACTTGAACGTGAGCTTACACATGTACGCGAAAGGCTTGCGATGTTCGAGGTCGTAAAAGCTCGAAAAGCACCAGCGTAGATGAGGTAGATTAATATGGAGCACAAAAGTTTCTGCCGTCTTGAAGCCGCGCTATAACAGCGCCCCTCAAGGGAGGATAGATTTTTCTTGGGCCTGCTGGCTTACCATCGCGACACGTGACTAGTGTCACCAGAACCAAGCGTAGCACTTTGCACGGAAAATAAATGATCAGCGTGGATATTGCGGAGGCCATACCGACTCCAACTTCCGGTGCCATCTGTGTTCAACAATAGCACAGTCACATGCAATCGGAAGCGGACGCCCTGATCTGGGTGTGCGGGCGCCTCTTTCCCTCCATACCGCGCGGTGCGAGGCTACACCAAGAGCCCACTAGCAAACTCCTACATAGGAAGCTATGACCTACTAAACACGCGAGAGGTGCTCGAATGATACAATTGGATTGTTCAGTTTCAACTGGATGAGTCATTCCTTTTTCAGTTGACCCTCGTTTAGATAATATTAAAAATTACACCCCATTCACCAGGGTAATTACGTTCGTGAGAAGCGCTGGATATAATATCTTTAATTATTTAGCACAGGGGTGGGCAACCCGCGCCCCACGAGCCGCATGCAGCCAGCATAACAAGGAATTAGATTTTATTAAAGAAATATGGTCCATTGTTTAATCCCAAAAAGCCTGTTTAATATCTTTTAAGCGAATCAGCATGATCGCTCATTAAATACTGCATTTTATGCATTATAATTTATAAGCATTTGGAGATTTATAGGCATTTGGAGATTTTTTCGCGCGCCTCACAAATTTTGTGTGTTGTTTTAGAGCGCAGCTCTTAGGGGCCCGTTTCCAGCCTGAGCGGCGTCGGCGTCGGCGTAACCGGGGGGGGGGGGGGGGGGGGGTCACGGGATCCCCCCCCCCCCCCGAGATCACGTGACCCCCCCCCTCGAGATCACGTGACCCCCCCCCCCCCCCGAGATCACGTGACCCCCCCCCCCCCGAGGTCACGTGACTACCCGCAGGTGTAGTGACCCCCCTCAGTACCCTTCCCTACTCCTCCTCAAGAGCTGCGCTCCAATTCGGCGTTACAGGGATTTGTACCATACCTGCAATAATTGTACCATACCTGCTATACCTGCTATATTTTGAAACTAAAAAAATTAATTGATTAATGTAGGCATTAATTATTTGTTTTATTAATTTGCTCCTCGACGGACTCTAGAGGAGACAACCCTCCCTCTCAACCTTGCTACGAATGCCATTTTTTTTAGCTGCATCGACTCTAATTATAGGTCTCCACAATATTCTGGCAATATCCGCATGCTCGAGTTTCGACGCAGCACCCCGACGGGCAGCAACAACTTAGTACACCTGGGGGAACCCGCAAAGGAAATCGTAAGAGGCGTAGCTGCACTGATGGTCCCTTAAAAGGGCGGCGCACCAATATTAATGTTTCAGAGTCTGCAGCATGCAATACCTTTGATTGATTTATTTTTGCACAAGTACCAAACACGTAAATCTTTATCGGACTGCCGTGGTTTCCCAACCTGTGGTCGCGCGTGGCGGCCAGGGGAACCACGATATTTTTCAGGCGCCAGCTACCCAAAGTCGACCACCCCCTCTCCTCGGCTCCCGTGACGGGAAAAATAGCAGAACAAGCTTAAGCCGGTACATACGTTGTCATGGAGCTGGCCTTCACACAGACAGACACTAGCAAGTGGTGCATTACATCCCAAGAAGTCGTAGCTCTCTCAACAAAGACAGGCGACAACAGAATCATACTAGTGATGAGGTGTGCCAGGGCAGGAACCCATGAAGACGACAGCGACGATTATTAATGAATACGCATAATTAAGCAAAAGTTTCCCAAAAGTATATACTAATCGGTTGAGACTTTAATGCTCCAGACACGGAATAGAACTACAGAACAACCACTATGAGAGGCCAGATATTAGCGGAAGCATACCAAAGAGCTAACCTAATTTTAATCAACGACTTATCGGCCAACACAAGATACGCCACCAAAATGAAACATGAAATAAAAATTTGGTTGGGGCTAGTTGGTTCATATCGATTAAAAGGTTAAAAGGCGCGAACAAATGGGACGAAAAAAGACACACGTACGACACGGACAGGCGTCAACTTTGTGTGTTTAGGCGATTGTGATCGAGTTTAACGATGATTCGTGTTTCAATAATTCAGTTGAAAGTTGGCGCCGGTTTGTGTCGTTCGTGTCTCTTTTTTCGTCCTGTTTGTTCGCGTCTTTTAACCTTTTAATCGACATGAACCAACTAGCCCCAACTAAAGTTTTATTGCATCACATTTCTTCTACTCTGGGCTCTTTCCTGTATCATCACATCAAGCAAGATCCAGCCATCACCTGTGTTAATCTCATTGCCATTTCTACATGCCAGACCCGTTTCCTAACGCATTGCATCAAAACGAAGTTTCTGCCTCCGGAGGTGCGCGCCCTTTTCGGACTGCTGGAGCCATCATGAGGCTATGCCAAAAGGGTGTGCAAGATTGTGATGTCGGAGCATTGGCGACAGGTCCGAATGTATTAGGACTGGTTGCATGTTTTGGTTTACGAAGGGAGTGAACCTTGCTCCGCAGACCGTCGGCTTGCTGGGTACAGGAGGTTGGCGGCCAAGTCGACAGACTTTTTGTGGCAGCGCGTACGCATGAACCTTCCGCCCAAGAAGAAAAGTGCGGCCACTTGTGCGAACAACGTCACTGTACTGGGCAATCTCTTCTTGCCAGGAGACGTGCGAATGACTCTGGAAAAGGGTCTGAAGTACAGCTATGAACCTTCTTTAAAGCAGCATGAGCAACTGGGCATGGTGCGCCGGGTGGCCAACCGCGTCAGTGAACAGGACAGAGAGCGAGCCATCAGTGAAGGAGTGGACTGTCTCAAGCACACAGTGAGTTGAGAACCGAGGAAACAAGCTCCTGTTAGAAAAATCGTTCACTTCATGAAGGACAGTGGGCTTACAATGGTAGAAGCCGACAAAGAGGGCGGTTTTGTTGTCATGAGGGAAGACCTTTTTCAGGACAAGGCTTTAGCGGCTATTGAAAAGAATTTCAAGCTTGTCGACTTTCTTCCGAAGAAACAAAGGACGGCTGTGCTTAGGTTGCTCAAAGACGTGAACCTTAAAGGATTAAGAAAGGCGGTCAACAAGGCAGAAAATGTTTTTTTAAAGGTCTTCTTTAGCGGCAAGACTTATACGTCTAGCTGTCCCTTACGAGTCATTGTCTCGGAAAAGAGTGCCTGGCAGGTCTTGGTCAGCAGGTACTTACAGCGTCATCTAAGTGCCTTAGTCATTGACGATCCCTTTCTGGTTCGAAGCTCCGGGGAACTAGTTCAAGATTTGAAAACAGGGTTGCAGAATGCGGCCACAGCCTTTTCTGTGGCTATAGAATTGTTTTACTCGGTTCCCCATGATGGACTTTAAATCGCTGTTCGTGAGAGCATAACGCAGTCAGGTGAAGTGGAATTCCAGAATTCTACGGGTGTCAACTGCGATAATTTTATAGCGCTGTTAGAATTTTACTTGCAGTCCACGGCCGTTGTTTTAATGAATAGTTCTACGTACAAAAGAGTGGTATTTGTATTGGT